TGTCCAGATCCGGAAAGGTCCATTGCGATTAGAGACATGCCGACGCCCACTAATGTGGCGATGCTACAAAGTTTTCTAGGGCTTGCAAATTATTATCAAGCGTTCATTAAAGGAATGTACAATTTAAGAGCTCCGTTGAATGAACTGCTAAAAAAAAAAGACAAGGCATGGGAATGGACGGTAGAATGTCAGAAAGCCTTTGATGAAATAAAGAAAATGCTTACGTCCGACCTCTTTTTAACCCATTACAATCCAAAACTGGATATTGTAGTGGCAAGTGACGCTAGTTCATACGGGATAGGGCGTGTATTCAACACATAATGCCAGATGGTTCTAGAAAACCAATTGCACACGCTTCGAGAACTTTGCTCCCAGGAGAAAGAAGTTACTCTCAGATAGAAAAAGAGGCACTGAGTATCATTTTTGCCATACAAAAATTTCACAGGTACATCCACGGCAGACATTTTATCCTTGAAACGGATCATAAACCACTGATCACCATTTTGGTTCAAAGAAAGGGTTACCCGTTTATACAGCAAATCGTCTGTTAAGATGGGGAACCATTCTTCTCAATTATGATTTTCACATAAAGCACCTATCATCCAAAAAGATAATTCATGCGGATAGTCTATCAAGACTAGTACCGAGGCAAGAAGAAAGATTCGAAGAATCAATTATTGCAAATATCAGAGCAGATTATGAGGTGAAAAGCATGGTAAACAACATTGTAAGAGAGCTACCGGTTACGCTAAATGAAATTAAAAAAAGAAGCTGAAAGCGATGATTTCATTTAGAAATTAAAAAACAAAATGGTAGCGAATGACCAAAAAGTGCAGGAGATTTATTCAATAGGTGACGGAGTTTTATTATATGGTGAGAGAGTAGTAATACCAAAAAAGTTGCAGAAAAGAATACTTCGGGACTTTCATATGGGTCACCCGGGTATTAATAGAACAAAAAAAGCTTAATGCGAAGCTTTGTGTATTGGAAAGGAATGGATGTGGATATCGAAAACATGGTTCATCGATGTAAGGGGTGTGCGTTAGCAGCTAAGGCACCACCTATAGTATACAAACCATGGCCCAAGACGGATCATCCGTGGACAAGATTACACATTGATTTCGCTGGTCCAGTAGAAGATTTTTACTACTTAATAGTGGTAGATAGTTTTACAAAATGGCCGGAAGTACTACGCTGTAAAAAGCCTACGTCCAATACCACAACAACTTTTTTGCATGAACTATTTGCACGGTTCGGTGTGCCAGAGTGTATTGTGAGTGACAATGGTACACAATTCACTTCTGAAGAATTTAAGGAATTTTGTGAGTTATATCAAATTAACCACATAACGACGCCTCCGTATCATCCGAGGTCTAATGGACTCGCAGAAAGATTTGTCGATACTTTAAAGCGTGCTCTGAAGAAAGCCTCAGGAGTTCCAACGGAAAAGGCGCTTCAGCAATTCTTACAAGTATACAGAATCACGCCAAACCAGAGAACACACTCAAACATGGCACCAGCTGAACTAATGTTCGCTAGGAAAGTTAAGTCAGTGTTTGACAAGCTTTTGCCAGGAAAAAATACAGTAAAAATACCATGTATACAGCGAGAAAAAGATACACTCCCGGAGAGAAGGTGTTTTTCAAGTGCTATAAAAACAACGTTGAGTTCTGGGAACGAGGCATAGTGGACAAGAGAATCGGTGACCTGATTTACATAATTAAAGGGCCGAAGAATACTTATAAAAGGCACCAAAACCAACTTAAAAAAGATTACGGTATAGAGCAAGAAGAGTGTATACCGGATGAGGACGAAGATCCCATTGATATAATGTATGATATGTTTCAGGTAGAACCTCCACAGAATACACCTGAACCAAGAAGATCCGGTAGGAAACGGAAGTTGACGGACCCATTGAACGTGAATCCAAAACGGAAAAAATATTAAAATTAGGCAAATGGATCTACAAAGAAATAGCCATAATCATCAACCCATATAGGAAGCCAATTTGAAATCCAAAAGGGATTCCAAGGCTTGGGAGGAGGGTGTTGTGTATGATACACCTAATTTACATAAGTGGAGTACCGACCATATAAATATGGGTTGGTACCGGAAGACGACGGAAGATTAAGAGATCGAATCCAGAGACTCTGCCCGACTGCGTCTTAGTCAACCCATTCTGCAGGAACAGTCTTCCCAAGAATATACCAAAACTACCTGTAAATATTGTGTACCTTTTTTCATTGTTTCAATACATTTTGTTACGTACATTTTGTGTTGTATTATTATTATTCCATGCTTATTCAAGCTTCAACAGTTACCGACCCTTGCAGTAAAGCCTGATGCATGGATGTCTGAACCAGGCCTCCCGCCCAAGGATGGTGGCATTTCACCACATAGGACGAAAAACAAGACCTGGCAAAGGGTATATAAGCTTCTTATAGGACCCAAGGAGGCACGGTATATGAAATGGGTAGCGGCGCGGATTGAGGGATCGGAGAGCCGAGTTCGAATTCCAGTCAAATCCATTACGTTCATTTATGTGATAATATCATTGGGAAAGGTATGAATCCTCATCTTCTCCCCCTAGCTACGGGTAAATAGCAGGACAAACCGGGTTCTATGGCCTTGGATTGCAACTGGTCTACTGCAGAAAGAAATGGCAAACTAGTGCGGGAAAATATCTGCCTATTCAGTCATATATCGAAAGATACATGATCGCCTAAGCGTGTATCACGCATGGCACATAACTGACTGAGAAAACCCAATGGCCAACACACACACACACAGAGACATGAACACACACACACATATATATATATAACTAATATGTTGATACAATAGTTGTCAGTGAAAATGAACACCATACCGCCCCTTATTAAAATGATTGGTTTTCTCCATATCCATAGAAATTAATATTACGAATGTATACCTTATAAATCTCCGTACATTTCAAAATTAGATATTCCAAAATTCGCTTGAGGATGAAACAGAACTAGGTACTTTCATTTAACTTAATTTTTATAATTGAATTGGAAGTTTTTAGCTTTCTCTTTTTGAATATAGCGATGGAAACATATTTTTTTAAAATTAATGATCATATATATATATATATATATATATATATATATATATATATATATATAAGCAGCATGGCCTGGTGTTGCCCGTGCTTGATTCAAAAAAATCCTACGACTCATACAGCAATTGCTATCACTTGACTTAAAATATTTTTTTGCCCTTCCTTGCCTTTTTTAAAGGAGTGCCTTTGCCGTGCTGATGTTGCTACATGCCTTACTTCTTGCCTATCTCACACTGCGAATTTTTTTCTAAGCTCTATACTAAACATTAAATATGTTACGAAAAAAGAACTAAACAAAATGAACACAAAACGATCAGCTTTTAAAAAGGACTCGTAACTAGAAAAACCGAATGAAAAAAATAAATGTTAACAACAAATACTTTTTCACACCCAACCCAGTTCTGCGGAATCAGAATCAACGTTGAGTTTAAGCAAGCAAATGAACCAATTGGAGTAAAGTGCCATGCAGATTTAAATTTTTCCACTTGTGACGAATGCAGCTGTCGATTTTTTTTGTATGCTAGCATGCTAGTTAACATTCGTGTCAGTCAGCTGTTGGCTCTCACGCTGGCCAATAGAATCTTCCTGCTTATTCGTGGCAGCCAGCTATAGGCTCTCACTCTGGCCAGTAGAAAATGGCCGCAAACTACATGAAATCTGCCGTAGAAGCATGAAAAAATCGATTGTTTGGTAATTAAACTCTATAAATGTACCCCTCCAATTTCATTACGGCCAGCGTTTCTTACTCTTATTAAAAAAAATAGCTTTAAACATACAACAATATTATTCTAATTTAGTTTTATAGTAATTCTTATTTCATTTTACATTTGTAAATATTGTTAGGTACATATGATTGTATTTGATATTCCTATGGGGTCACAATCACCGAATGTTAGTGTCAAATTGTTGTATGTTTGTGTTGAGTAGTCATTTCGCAACTGAAATCGACCTATGAAACGGCAATTTTTTGAAGATTATTTTGTAGCTGTGCATAATACGCACCCCCCAATTTTGCTTATTATTTTTTAAGAAAAAATGCGCATTATACATGGGGAATTACATTATATATAAGTTTTGCTACAGTCCATTTCCCTGGCGGAGTTTAAACAGGTCTAATATCTTCTTAGATTTTTCATTTTTCATAAACGATTATCAAATAATTTTTATAGGTTAATAATGTTTTCTTTCCGTTTCTTCAGTGGTTTTTGAGTATTGTGTTTTCATGAGTCAGTGGATGTCGTGTCGGGTTTTTCCGGATTTCCCCGTCCTCGCTCGTCAAATTGTGGTGTCTTGTCATTTTGCTTTAGTTGTGAAATATATTCCATGTTGTTTTTCCAAAATTTAATGAAATGTTATCGATGCTGTGTTGTTTGAATCGTTTTTTGAATCGTAATTTTCATCCTTTTTTTTACATTTTATGTATGTATAATGTCTATATTATAAGTTTGTTGGATTACTTCTGTGTAATAGTGTTGATTGATGATATGCGATTTCATTGTGCTATTTTCGGATAACCGCCAAGTTAATCAACAAGATAGCGTAGTGTTTAACTAATAAACATATATAATAGTCTTTTGACTACGTTATTTCTCAGTAGCTTCTTGATGGAAACAATTTAATTAAATAAGTTCAAATTTATCCGGAATTTTCTCTGATATCTCCTAATCATATTAATAAATAAAACTGCATTATGCGAAAGTGGTTTCGTTTTTGTTTTGCTTTGTCATCACAATCGACTGGACACAGTCTGGGTTGGTTTTAGTGCTTTGCAACATAACGGCATCATGTGTGCTGGTATAAATTATATTTTTTTCATTTTTCCCTTTATTTTTTTTATTATTTCATTATATTCTTTCTTCCTTTTTTGCTTTCTTTCTTGCCTTATTTCTGTTACATTTTAATTTCTTTTTGTGTATTGATGCTCTCTTTATTTTTTTCTTTCTTTGTCATTCTTTATTCATTTTCTATTGATATAATTCTATTTCTTTTACTTCTTTTTTCTTTTACTTCTTTTTTCTTTCACTTCTTTTTTTTTCTTTTATTCCCGCTTTCTTACTTTTATAGTTTTTCCTTCTTTATTGTTTTGAATTTTTAAAAAAAAGTCTACGTTATTCTATTCTTTGTCCTTTATTATGTCTTTCATTCTTTCTTTTCTTTCAAATTTTCTTTCGCTTTCATTCATTTGTTATCTCCTTTTCATTTCTTTTTGCTTGAGACTTGTTATTATACCGGTTCTTTCTTTCTTTCTTTCAAACCAATTTTTACTTACTAACTTAGTTTATTTATATCGATCAATCTTTCTTCCTTCCTGTTTTCTTTATTTATTATGTTAATTTCCTAATAGTATTTTCTTTATTAATATTTTTTCCTTGCGTGATTTTCTTTCTTCTTTCTTTTTTTCTTTCTTATCTTGTCTATCTTTTTTTTTTTTTGACTTTTGTTCTTCTGAGTTAATTTTATCAACCCATCTTAGTCTATTCATATCAATCAATCTATCCCCCTTCCTTCCTTCCTTCCTTCCTCTCCCCCCTTCCTTCCTTCCTTCCTTCCTTCCTCTCCCCCCCCTTCCTTCCTTCCCCTCCCTCCCCCTGTCCTCCCCTTTCCCCCGTCCTACCTTCCTTCCTTCCTTTCCCCCCCTTCCTTCCTTCCTTCCTTCCTTCCTTCCTTCCTTCCTTCCTTCCTTCCTTCCTTCCTTCCTTCCTTCCTCTCCCCTCCCTTCCTTCCTTTCCCCGTCCTTCCCCTCCCTTTCCCCTGTCCTTCCCTCCTTCCTTCCTTCCTTCCTTCCTCTCCCCCTCCTTCCTTCCTTTCCCCCGTCCTTCCCTCCTTCCTTCCTTCCTTCCTTCCTTCCTAATTCATTTATTTGTTCAATTTCTTACTAGAATTTGCTTTAGAAAGATTTTCTGTTTCCTTATTGTCATTGCTATCACTTATGCAATCTGGTCGTTCAGGGGCTTCTATCCTATAGTTTGTGTGTGTATGTATATGTGTGCTTGTGTGTATGTGTATGTGTGTGTGGGTATGTGTTTGTATTTGTGTGTGCGTGTGTGCTACAAAATAAACTAAGTACTTCCGGAATCTATAAATTTAATTTTGTACAATTTCTGATTCATGCAGCAGACGCTGCAGCAACACAGGAAGAAAAGGCCTGTTTCTACATCCCTTCCGTCCGTTCAGTCAGACAGACAGACAGACAGACAGGTATGAAGAAAGAATGACAGATAGAAAAAATGGAAACAGGAAACAAGGAACAGAATGAAAAATAGGAAGGAAGGAAGGAAGTAGGAACACCGAATGAAAATGGAATAAAAGAAAGATGAAAAGAATGAAAGAACTGAGATAGATAGATAGATAGATAGATAGATGTGAACAGATTGAGATAGATAGATAGATAGATAGATAGATGTGTATAAAGATCGATAGATAAGTAGATAGATAGATGAACAAACTGGAATAGATGCGTATAAAGATCGATCGATAGATAGATGTGAACAAACTGTGATAGATATAAACAGACTGAGATAGATAGATAGATAGATAGATATATATATAGATAGATAGATATGAACAGATTTAGATAGATAGATAGATAGATAGATAGATAGATAGATAGATATAAACGGACTGAGACAGATGCGCATAAAGATCGATCGATAGATGGGTAGATAGATGAAAACAATAGTGTAGATAAAAAATGAGCCTATCAAGAAAGTAAGAAAAACTGAGATTGATAAAAACGAATAAATAGAAAGAATTTCTCACCATGAATTACAAGAAAACAAAATATGTGATTGTCAGCAAAAGAGGCCCCACAAGATGCGAACTACAAATTAGAGCCATCAAAATCATGTAAGTACATAAATTTAAATATCTCGGAAGAGGTTACCAGGACGAAAAATACCGCACAGAAATTCGAAGTCGTATCTGTGATCTTCCTGATGTCATCACTTCCCAAGCAGGCATTTATGCTGATGTCACTATCATTTAGTCTTCTCTCAATAGCAAATTCGTCAGAGTATACAAAATTAATCTGGCCGCTGCTCGTAAAAAGGACCTCAAATCTATACTTAACTGGGACAGGAAATTGATCGTAAATTTTAATGCATCCAAAATGAATCTATTCTCATTTAACGACCGCAGTGAAACTTTCCCGCTCACCATCAGCATGGCTGATCCTAGACTAATGGAAAGCAAAACACTGCAGCTTCTTGGCCTCACATTTTCAATTGATTTGAAGTGGTAAGACTATATCGAATCAATATCTGCATCTTGTGCAAGGAGAGTTGTGTGACTGTATCGTTCCAGATGTTTTTTTTTTCTCATCAGAGTCCATCTTGTACATTTACAAATCTACCATTCGTCAGTGCATTGAATACTGTTGCCATATATAGTCAGGTGCTCCTGTTACTCATCTCGAGATTCTTGACAAAATCCAGAGATTGATCTGCAATGTAATCTCATTTCGACTTCAGTCACTTTCTCACCTACCTGACGTGGCTTCCCTCTGTCTTTTCTTCAAATATTTTCATGGCTATTGCTTTGACGAGCTTTTTTTTTTCTCTTGGTACCCGTACTACGAGAGTTTAAGCGTGCTACTAGATTGGCATCTAGGTCTCACCCTTTTACCGTTGAATTAGTTAAATGCAACCAAGACTTCTACTCCAACAGTTTCCTTTCTCACACTTCCAGCTTGTGGAACTTTCTTCCGCTTCCTTGCTTCCCTACAATCTTCAAAAATTTAAATGTAACGTCAATCGCCATCTTCTATCTTCTTGAAACCCGTTCAACTTCTATCCTTTCCTTGGTGCCTCCAATACCCAGTCTCTTCTCTCACCTTCACTCTGTGTATTCCCCTGCGTACTAGTGGCATTCTCTTGCTTAAAGTAAATATCAGAGTTAGGAAAGCTATCTCTCAAAAGATAAGTATTAAGAAACGGGAAAATTTAGTTAAAACAAAGAACGCTGAACTGATATATAATATCAATCTTCCTATATGGCAGCGAATAATCTCTTCACGGGTGAAGTAGTTACTTGAGAGAACAGGAATGTGGTTTTACGGAAGGATAATGAAAATACCATGGATGGAGCATGTGAGTAACGAGGAAGTGTTAAAAAAAACGGAAAGCGAAACAATGGCAAACATCGAGGGACCTACTTAACGAGCTTGTGTAAAAGGATATCAGAACTGGAAGTAGGAAGAATGGTGAAAAGACAAACCATACTAAGAAGAACAAACATCTGAAGTACATAGACTATCTTGACTCTCTACGCCAAGATAGTCCATGGCTGTTCTAATACTGTTTTCTCATTTTCTTCACTGAAGCTTTACTTATTTTTTATTTTGATTAATTGTATCATTAAACACAAGCATTCCGCCTTCAGTCTGTTAGCGACGCTGAGGAAGCGGCCATTTTTCTTTCACTATGGCGGCCAGTACCTTCGATAAATTAATACAAATTGGTTCTTTACTGTCATTTTTCTGAGGTCAGTGCTATGATACTATCAGGAATATAGCGACACCGTGCTTATCGGGGACGAAGACGACATAAGTAGTTAAATGTCAGTATTTGTTTTATTTATAAAAGACAAAACAGGATATGCAATGTGATCGGTCCTAAGATGGTATCTCGATTTCAGTCACTTTCCTTCCACCGTACAATAGCTTCTCTGTGACTTTTTTTTAATGTAAATATTTTAATGGTAATTGTTCTGATGAACTTTCCTCAATGGTACCTAGACTTTATAAATTTAAGCGCAGTACTAGATTGAAGATCTCATAAATTTACAATTGAAATGGCAAGATGCAACCGTAAGTTCTACGCTAACAGTTTTTTTCTCTCGCACTCATCGCTTGAGAAAAGGTTTCTTGATTTCAAGTTTGATATTCAAAAATTTAAATGTAATGTCAGTCGTTATATTCTGTCTTCTTCATTGCTGCACTTTTATTATTCCCTTTCCTTAATAATGAATTTTTTTATCTCATATTCTCTCAAAAGCAGTAACTCTTTGCATCTTTATTGCCTTGCCTGGAAAAATAATTTTAAAAAAGTACAAATTTTTGTATTTTCAAGCTAAGTTTTCGAATAGTCTGTGATCTTTTAAATGAGATTAAATGTCGGCAAGTTTAAATATTTCTCAGACTTACATACATTGGAAACTAGAAAAAACAATTTAATACTCTTGTTCACAAAACAAATGGCTCAAGAGTCACTTAAGATAGAGAGGTTAATTTACGAGGTTGTTATAAAGGTGGAGGGCAAGAGGCGAATTTTATAAGAATATGTATGATATATAACGGTTGAACACTATTTACACTATTCGGACTATTGTCCTCATCTTTGTCGCCATATTTACTACAACGTTTTGGCCATTGTACGCTCCGGCCTTCTTCAGATAGTTGGAATGTCGAACTGAACCCTTTCTTTCGCTCACTGGAGTAGACTGTTCTAGTTCCACGTGCCATGTTTAATAGGATGTCAGTTATCAGTTATCTCCTGTTTCCTCTCTCCAAGTTCTCCACTGCCTTAACCGGGCATTGAACTCACACTCTTTGCGTCATGTCACTAGATCTAACTAACGCCTTTATCCACTGTGCCATGTGTCCTTAAGGCAGTGGAGAACTTGGAGAGGGGAATTGACAATAGATAACTGAGAAATTACATCCATTAAATATGGCACGTGGAACTAGAACAGTCTACTCCAGTGAACGAAATAAAGGGTTCAGTTCGACATTCCAACCACCTGACGAAGGCCGGAGCGTACAACGGCCGAAACGTTGTAATAAATATGGCGACAAAGATGAGGACAATAGTCTGAATAATGTAAATAGTGTACATAATACCACATCTCAGAAATATAGACAAATATCGGTTGAAGTTAGACTTTAAAATGTTAGGATTATATTTTGGGAGCTCGTTCCATAATGCAACAGTCCTGGAATGATGCTTTGCGTGTAGAACCAATGAAGGAAATGAGGATAAGTGTACGTGACATAGCATGTCCTAGTAGAAATGGTCAGGATTGGCTGATGGAACCAAAGAATATAATTCTCCGAAACATCTGCCATTAAAAGAGCAGAAAAGGAGCCAGAGGCTAACAACTTTTTGTCTGTGGGAAAGAGGCTGTATGGTGGAAAACAACGAGAACAATCTACTTCCGGTAGAATACATAAAGGGCTTAGTTCCAAATTCACATAAGTTTTCGCGGATCGAACGACACCTGAAGAAGACGGGAGTGCACAACAGCAGAAACGTTGTGATAATAACAACAAAGATTAGGATATTAGTTCAACAATGAATATGTTAGTACTTTTCAGCAAGTTTTAAATATTCTTCAGTACCTTACCTGATATTAAAGATGTAGTAACTTGCTATAGAAACAAAAAAATACTCAACTGTTATGTAATATCATTCCTCCTATATGGCTGAAAAATCTCACAGACGAAAAATAGACTTGAGACAAAAGATATGTGTTTATACAGGAGAAGGATGAGAGTCCTGTGCACTGAACATGTGAATAATGAGGAAGTTTTAAGGAAAATGAATACAAGAAGAACACACACTTGGAATCAGAACGAGTAAGAAGAAATTTCTATGACATGTATTGAGAAAGGAAGGCATGGAGAACTTGAAACACAAAATATATATTTTTATTTTTTATTATTACCAATGTTTACCCAATACAAGACCCAGGAGCCACTCAAGCCATAGAGTTACTGTATTGAATGGGTGTAAGAAAGAGAAAAAAGGGAGAAATTCTTGGGCCGTGCAGGAAAGAAAACAGCAAACTCTAGACTTGAAGAGGTGAAAATTTAATTAGTGAATGTCATTTCAGAGTTGAGTCTGAGACATCAGGTGTATAGTGTAGAAGCAGTCTTTACAAAGAAGCGGAACGCCAATCCTAAACAGGAAATAAGGGATAAACCTCTACTAATGTTCTAAAGACCAGGGAGGAGTATGAACCGGGCGATAGGTATCTATTTCTATTTTTAGAGAAGAAAAAAATAGTGGATAAAATTTCAGGGTTTAGGCAGAGACGTTAGAAGTATAGAGTTGATCTAGATTTTAGAAGAAACCGAAAAACCAATCCTAATCAGGAAACAAGCGATAAGCCTCTACTCCTGATCAAAAGACCAGGGTGGAGTATTAACTGGACGATAGGTGAACCTATCTACTCCTAGTGTTCGAGAAGAAGAAAAAAATTGTGAATAAAAATTTACCGTTTAGGTGGAGACGTTGGAAGTATAGATTTGAATTAGATTTTAGAAGGAACCGAAATCCCAGTACCAAACAGGAAATAAGGGATAAACCTCTACTCCTGTTCAAAAGACTGTCGGAGAGCGTGAACCGAAAAGGTGAAGATAGAGAGAAACAGCGAGTAACCTACTTAAGAAGCATAAATATATGGCAAAACAGGGAGTTGGAGTAATACCGAACATGAAAATCTCAGTAACAGCTTGTGTCTTAGCGGCTTCATTGCCTTGCTTGGAGTGAAATTATTAAAAAAATCAGAAGTGTATCAGTCACAACATAGTGTCCAAAATAACAAAATTCTAGTACGAATAATTTATGACTATTTTTTTTACTAAAGTTCACCATATGTAAGGCTCAGGAGTCACTCAAGATAGAGAATTACTGAGTGA